TTAATTGACAGAACAGACCCATGCCTGGAGTTAGTCATATTAAGAACATGCGTTTTATGTTCCATGAAAAAGCTGGGCATGGTGGTGTAATCTCAGCACAGGGGATACAGAAACAGGAGGTTGCTAGAGCATGCTGGCCAGCCAGTCTAGCCAAATTGTTTAAGTTCCAGGTTTAATGCCAAACTCAAAAAATAAGCTGGAGAGTAAAGATGCCCAATATTGACCTCAGCCTCCATAAGCGCACTTACACATATGAAAATACACATGCACACACATGAGCATGCACTCGCACACACACATTCCACATAAAAGTACAAGTTGACCTATTGCATTGTCACATTGGCTCAATGCTCCCTTGAGTGAGCCATTGCTAATTCTCAATTCACTATCAAGCAGAATCCACTAGGTGATATACACAAAAATGGTCCTCTGACCCTCATTCTCCTTGTCAAGTCTTATAGCTTTCTGGAGATTATCTACTTGGAGGAAAAGAGGTGTTCTACCAAAGACCTTGGTCAGTTCATAATTCTCTCCATCTAAGACTTAGTCTTGAGTCCTGTTGCCACAGAGGCAGGGCATTCATCTTTGGAGTTCACAGGCACACATGACTGCTTGCTTCTCTCACATTTCTATGAAAGGTTGGGTTGTCTATCATTGGCTGGAATAGGTGACCAATTTTTGTAGGAGGAGCTAGCCTAAAGAGGTGAGACTATATCATACTTTCTACCCCCATGTATCAGAGAACATTGAGGAAGAGAAGGTAGAGCGATTGGAAGAGCTAGAGCATGGGGAGACACCAAAGGACTATAGCACTCACTAACAGCCTCTGGTCTCTGCACAAGACCTGCAAAAGATGTATGGATGGGGTGGGGCACATGAGCTTCCACTCCTAGCTGAGAAGTGACTGACAGTTGACGATGGCTAGGAGAGAAAGAATTTGTTTTCTTTAGTGGTGAAGGGGTTAAACTCTCCTACTTTCACAGCTGAATTTAGGTTCCAGTTCTCTGAGAAGGGCAAATAGGTGTCTTTTCCAACAAAGGGACATTTATCTACAAGGCCCTTACATTCAGGGTGGAGGGAGAGAACAAACACAGAGGACCTAAGTCAGCCTCACAATATCTCAAGGACACACCAGCAGCCCCTTCTGAGTCACGTCCAAGCTTGTGCAGATGTGTCCAAAAATGATAAGACTAAACCTCAGCCAATTAGAAATATACTAATGCGATTCCTACTTGCTTAAACCAGTTACATAGCTGACCCTGAAACTCCCCCTTGGCTGTGCTTAAAAGGAACCTACATGTCCCTCTTGGGGTCGTCGCCATTTTGTACAGGTGAACGACCCCACATGCATGCTGGTATAATAAACGCTCTTTGTTCTTGCATCCTACTTGAGCCTGGGGTCTCCCTTCAGCGTTTCTTCACACCCTACAGTTGTATGGTACTAGTGGGTTACCCATGCTGCAGTGGATGGCTACACCTCTAGATACAGCCAGCTCTAATTAGACACAGCAAGGTTTTTATAAAAGTACATAAAATTGAAAGAGAGAGAGAGAGAGAGAGAGAGAGAGAGAGAGAGAGAGAGAGAGAGAGAAAGGATTTGGAAGGAGTTGGAGGAGGGTGAATATGATTGAAATATATTTTTGCATGTATGAAATTCTCAAAGAATAAACTAAAATATTATACTGAAATGTTTTTTGAAATTCATCCACAGCACCCCCACCCCATAGGTGGGAATGAAGAGTAGCGAGCCTTAGAGGCAAGATTATAGACTGACTAGAGGTCATGGCTTAGACTGCTTAACGCATGGGGTGTGGGGCCAGCTCAGCAGGAAGCACCTCAGGCATCAAGTTTGAGGCAAAGGAACTTGCAACAGATGGTCAGCTATGAGCCTGTCTCCGCTGGTCAGTGTTCCCCTGGTGGACATGTGACCTTGGTAACTTTAAGGACAGTTGTCAACAAGGCACACCTAAGGTGTCTCACAAAACCACTCATGAGTGTACTTCTGTCTCAGAAACCTAGAGAGGGAGGGGAATGTCAATCACCTCTTCTTCCTTTCCACAAAGCCTCTCACATCATTTCTGTTCCACCTCACGTCTTTCAGTCCTTTCCCTGCTCTCCTCAAACTAGTTTACTTTGTTAAATCCTTGAAAAGATCAGGACAACTTGTTGACTATTTTTCTATTTTCCTTATTGTTTTTAAAGATGAAAAAGTCATAAGGCTGGGGAGATGGTTCAGGGCATCTTCCTAAGGCTGCAACCCTTTAATACAGTTTCTCATGCTGTGGTGACCCCCAACCATAAAGTTATTTTCATTGCTACTTCTGAAATTTTGCTACTGTTAAGAATCATAATATAAATAGCCGTGTTTTCTGATGGTCTTAGGTGACTCCTATGAAACGGTCATTAGATCCCAAAGGGGTTGTTCACAGGTTGAGAACCAATGGTTAAGGGGGTAAAAAGTTCTTGTACAGCAAGCAAGATGACCTGAGTTTGGACCCCCAACACCCATATAAAAGCTAGGAACAGTGGCAGATATATATATATATATATAAAACCCCAGTGCTGGAGAGGTGTTGGGATAAGGCAAGCAGATTCCTGGAGCTCCATGGCCAGCCAGCCTAGCAGAAAGGGTGGGCTCCAGGTTCAGTGAGAGACCCTGCCTCAAAACTAAGGGTAGTGCTAGAGATAAGACCTGACAGTCAATCTCCAGCCTCTACATGCACACACACACACACACACACACACACACACACACACACACACATGCCACCCCTTCCCCCACTATTTAAAAAAGGATTTCAATGAAAAAGGCACCTAGGGTGCTTCTTCAGCATTCATGAAGACCTGGGTTTGATCCTTATAAAACCAGGTGTGGCGGCACAAACGTAATCCTAGTCCTCTGGTGGAAGGAAGGCAGCATGATTAGAAGTTTAAGACTGTCCTAATTAGAGATAATTAGGCCAGCCTGGGATACATGAGACTCTGTCTTCAAAATTAAAAATAACTTAAAAGGCAGATGTGTGGGGCTGGAGAGATGGTTCAGCAGTTAAAAACACTTGCTGCTCTTTTAGAGGACCCAAGGTCCATTCCCAGGACCTACATCAGGAGGCTCACAGCCACTTGTAATCCCAGCTCTGGCCTCTGTGAGCACATGCAGGCATGTGCACATGCCCCCTCTCAACAACACATAGACATAATTTTTTAAAAAGGCAGCTACAATATAAATTTAATTCAGACAGAAGCACAGTGTAACCTTCTTTAGTGTGGAGTCTTATAAAATTGTTGCTGTATTTGAGGTGCCCTGAGAAGCCCATTAGGGTAATGGCTGTGACATTCCTCAGAGGTGAATGCATTTACATTACTCATTCTTAAAAACACATGCTCCTTGTCTTTTCACATGCATCACAGTGAGATCTAAAATAGATGTTCATCACCTCTTTCAGGGTTATGAATAGAAGTACCTCGAAAAGGCCTGGTGGCAATTGAAAATGACGCAGGGGATTCAGAAAGGAGGCATTCAAGAAAACCAAGCAGGAGGCAGGCTACCTACGTACTCTGAGCAGGGAACACGAAGGGACCCCCCAGTCTCCCACACTGGCAGCCGGGTGCCACATCATGGTCAAATGGAGGTGTGAGTGGGTGGGAACTCCAAGAACGAGCTGCATCTACCAGGAAGGAGGTTGAAAAGTCCAAAGGTGACCTAAGCATTGGATCAGATTGCTGACCCCATTCTCCATGTCTTCATCCATGCCTCTTTCCAGGTGGCTGGAAATGTCAAATGGTATTTCTCCACCCTCCTGACTGTGGGATTTCTCACTGAATTTATCCAGCCAAAGGAATTCATCAGGAGTCGCAGTGAGCCACCTCTGGCTCAAGAACTCAAGGTGCTTGCATTCCGCCTCTTGTCCTTGCCAGGAGAATGAATGATAGGGCTGGGCCTCTGGCTTAAGGCAAGAGTAAAGGACAAGGACAAGAAAAGATACAACTAACTACCTCACCGTGTCTCGGTCAGTCGGGCTCTGTCTGATTTGAAGGCACTCAAATGAGAACTGAAAGATGTTTTAGTGCGGGGATTTCAGGATCATTAAGGGGTGTTATGGTAGAAATCTCTTGATTGATACAAACCTTGTTTTCTCAATGTGGCTTGTTTGGAGAAAGAACAAGGAGAGTGGAGAGTAAAAACAGAGCGTGTGAGGCAGTAAGCCTTGTCTGAAGACGTGGACAGGTCTCATGGCAGTGGGACGGATGTCGCTTCTGACTTAGAACATCCCACCTGGGAGTGGAAGGGCCCAGAACCAAAGCTGTGCCGATGCACAGCTGTACCTCCCAACACTCTGTCG